CGCCCCGTTCCAACCGAACCGGTTGGAACGGGGCGAGAAACCCACCCCTGATACATATATATATGTTGTATTTGTGCTGATAAATAAATAGAGGGAGATCAATTGTTCATTATATCATCATTGATCCATTTAATATAGAAAGATCTTTTTAATATAAAATGGTCACTACATGTAATCATACCAAAGTATTCAAATCATCCCACTCTTATACATTAACATCATTATTGTCCTTTATATGTCATGTGAATAGTACTCTATATCATAACAAGAAAAAAAACTATTACTACATAATTAAAGAGTTTCATTTCCAGGTTTTTTTTAATCTAACCATTGGTAAAACAAGTCCCATACTTTATTATATTGCTCGAACTGCGGTGTTTTTCTTAACAACCATGACAAAGACGTTGTAAAAGTGAATTGGACTCATGGAAGAACCTCTTTAGTCACAGAAATTATGGCGTCAATGGTGGTTGTAAATCGAGGAGCCGCTGTACAGAAGGTGTACATTCAGCTACCTGATTCATTTCCTTTAATAGCAATGACAATATGCTGAACTGCATTTGGGGAGGGGTTAGGGTGTTTGGGGTGAAGCCCACCCCTTTGCTTTTAGCACACCCCACACCAACCTCAAAATCAGGTCACTTCCCTGAATTGGGACGGTAAACTTTGGGTGATCTCCCAAATGGACCACTGCAATGTTCATCCAATGGGGTTGCCCTTGAAGAGTATCCATAAGCTGGAAATAGTCGAAAAGGTGTCTGTTAATCTAGGTCACACCTCTGTTTCCTGAGTTGCACTAGCTCCCAATACACTTCTGGGCATCATTTAAGTTTCTAGTCCTCCTTCTAAAGCTTCCATGTCATGGGAGTAGCTTACTGCATAGACGACCTCTTTGCCATGGTCCATCTGCCCAGGAGATCCTTTGCTTAACTTCTGGTAAACTGAAATCTAGGAATCCCAAAGACAGATTTATTCTGGATAATATGGGAAGAGAGATGGAGTTGGACTCTCTACCCTTCCGTCTTCCTCCTTCAGTGGAGACTCACCAATGAAATCTCCTGCCAATCACCGCCTGCCCTTGTCCTGGAAATAGATGTAGAGGCTTTAAAAGGGAGAAAGAGGAAGGGTATTTGCATGTCTTTGCAGCCTCTCTTTCTTGCAGCTCAACTTAAGCGTGAGGAGAAGAGGTCCACCTAGAAGGAACTTTGGTTTCAGAAGATCAGTCCTTGCCCATTTCTCTGCCATGGCCCAACAGTTTCTCTTCCTCCTCTTCTTCCTCACCTGCTTCACTGGTAAAGTATCCTTTTGGCTAGCAAAGATCAAGCAGCTTCTCCTCTTCCTTGGAACAATTCTACTTTCCTGGAATTATTCCCTTCTCCTCACCCCTTTTCTTCCTTCCTTTCAGCTGAATACATGCATTTCTCTCTGACTGCATCTCAGTTGCATTTCATCCCTTTTCTTCCCCCTGCAGGTACCTTGGCCCAGTTCACCATGACTCAACCAGCCTCTTTGTCGGTATCCCCTGGAGGAACAGTCAGGATCACCTGTGTCAGGTCAGGTGGCTATACTGGCTACTATGTGAGCTGGTATCAACAGAAATCTGGTATGGAACCCGTGCTACTGATCTATCAAAACAGTTACATACCTTCTGGAATCTCTCAGCAATTTTCTGGTTCTTTTGATATTTCCTCCAATTCGGCCACTTTGACCATCTCCAACGTTCAACCAGACAATGAGGCTGACTATTACTGTTTGTCTTATGATGGCAACTATCAGTACACAGTGATTTCACCCTATGGGGAACTGTGACAAAAACCAGAAGGTGTCTCAGCCTTCCTTGAAGGCTTCACTCAACATTGGTTGCAGGTGGTTTGACAGAAGAATTGTGCACAGTCAGAGCATGTATTTTCGAGAGTTTCAGCACCATCATTTCATGGGATCCTCTTCTAGGACATTCCCAGCTAGCATTCTACAAACAAAGTCAATAGGGGAAACCTGCAGTAATTTGCTTAACAACCGTGGCAAAGACAGTCATAAAATTGCATGTGACTCGTAAGACCCTCCTTGCTTAGCTACAGAAGTTTTGGCTTCAATTGGGGTCACAAATTGTGGGTGACCTGTATAGAAGGTGTACATTCAACACAAGGAATCAGGTCCCTCAATGGAGATGTCCACATTCTGAATTGAATGTGGGGAGGGGGTTAGTGTGTTTGGGGTGAAGCCCACCTCTTTGCTTTTAGCACACCCTGCACCAACCTCAAAACCAGGTCACTTCCCAGAATTGGGGGGAGCACTAACCCCACCCCACAGGGAAGTCTTAAAAATGAGATTCTATATGGACCCCCTTTTCAGTTGGTGAAGGAAGGAATGAAGGGGACCCCAAAGAAATGGATGGATGGAGAATATGTTTGCATTATTTTGCAACAATTTAAGAGGAGAGAAAAGGGACAATTGAAATGAAATGTTGCTTTCAGAAATAAACTATTGCCCACTTCTCTGCCATGGCCCAAATGTTTCTCTTTGGGTTCTTACTCTTCCCCTACTCCAGTAGTAAGATATTGCTTTCTATGGGGAGCTCAAAGTTTATTTCTTCTACTGGGAACATTTTTGTTTTATGGCAATTTGGACCTCTCTCCTCCTCTTTTCTCCTTTTCTAACCTCAATACACTGCATTTCTGTCTGATGGCATCTCAGCTTTCCTTTGCCTTCTCAATCCCCAGATATAATCCACCACTGGGAAAAATCCCTTTAATTTTCGAAGGTATTTTTCTCACCTGGAATCCCTGAGTGATTTTTCCGGTTCAGCTGACCCTTCGTTCAATTCGGCCCCTCGTCCATCTCCAACTTCTGTGCAAGAGACGAGGATGATTATTGCCCTTCATGTCCTGATGGGGGCCTCCAAATCACAGTGAAAAGAGAAATTGGCCAAGAGCTGAGAAAGCATCTTAACCCTTCCCTGTAGTTTCACTTCGCATTGGGGCAGGTGGCTATGACTGCTGATTTTTAGTAAAAAATAAAAATAACAAGTTTGATGTCGGTCTGTAAAAAAAGGCATTGAACCAGACTTGGAGAACGGGAAATGGAGAAGATATAATTAGAGTAAGGTGTNCCTCGAGCTCTGATCTATGCAACCAGTTCCAGACCATCGGGGGTTCCAGCCCGTTTCTCTGGATCCAGATCAGGGAATGTGATGTCCTTGACTATCACTGGGGCTCTGGTTGAAGATGAAGCCACCTATTATTGTTGCATCTGGACGGGTAGTCAGTTCCAAAGTGATTGATTCAGGTGGGGAAGTGAGACAAAAACCTTTCTCTTCATTTGTATATGTGCCAGAAATTAAGAAAAATGAATATATAGGTTACTTATGACCTGCTCTAGTCCACATGCCCAAATGCCCAAATGCAGTCACACCCTCCTCTTTTTTAGAAATGATAGACAGGCCAGCCACCACATGATGAATTTTTGTTCCATCAGACGCCACCAATGTAAATTCACCGAAACCTGGTATTCAACCAAAAGATCTACCAGAAACACATCAATTTGGGACCAGGCTACAAACCAGTAAGGAGCCATGGGCCAGGGGTTGGACTAGATGACCTTCAAGATCCCTTCCAACTCTGTTAATCTGAGACTGCAGAAGTGACCAACAAATGATGGCACCTACCATTTCTTGACTTGGTGACCATCTCACACAATGACCAACAGGTCACAGGGCACGAGAGATCACATACTGTACAATGATCAGCCAGTCACACAACCCATTGACCACATGAGATCAATAAAAGCAACGTGAAGAACTGAAAACAACCAAAGTCCCAGCCTTTACATGTTATGCAAATGCATAGAATTTTATAATTGCATTTCCATGTCTCATTCATGTAAAAAGTAGGGTGTTTGAAGAAACATTGATGGCTTGTTCCCTGATCCCCCAATAATGTGGTCAGGTTTAAATGGGAGATTTTAAGTCTCCCGAATTTTCAAAGCTTTATGCAAATGTGTTTTCTGGTCATTGGCTAAACTAGAAGAGCTCAGAATGCTTTGGGGGAATAAAACATTCTAGCGGAACCAATGAGTGCAGACCTCATTTGCATGAAGTGGCCAAGCAGAGGCATTTAAGGAAACGAATGAAGAAGAAGAAGAAGAAGGTTAGAATTGTCTTCCCTAGAAGGACATTCCTTGCCAAACGTGACCATGGGTTGGGCTGTGGTCTTCCTTGCGCTTCTCACTTACTGCACAGGTAACGTTTTCGTGGGCCAAGAGAGGATCTGACTGTAATTCTCATACGAGTTTGCAAATGGCTCCGAGTGAACAAAGGTGCATCAGTTTAACAGCATTTCTTTCTTTTTCTCTCCTCACTCTTTCTCTCCTTCCATCCCTCCTTTATTAAAAGGCATCAATGGTGAGTCCACTTGGACTCAGCCTCCCTCCAGCTCCGTATCCCTGGGTGGAAACGTTACAATCTCCTGCACAGCCCAGAGTTTTGCTGCCATTGCCTGGAACCAACAGAAAGCAGGAGAAGCCCCCCGTTTTGTCCACTGTAGCACCTGCGGTAGCAGGGGAGAAGGGATCCCAAATCGGTTCACTG